TTGTATCATTCCTATTTTGCTGCCTAAATGCTCCTCCAATAACAGGCTTTTTTTGGGAATTTTTTCTGCCTTCATTCTTGCTCTCATCAACAACTGTTTCTGTTGGAATCTCAATTTTCGCTTTTCCAAGCTCTTTATCAGCATCGACAACAGAATTCTTGAAAATCACATCATCTTCATCATCCCTAAAGTCATATTCACTATCGACCAAGCTTTCATTTTCAGTAGACTCTGATTGTGCATCTTCTTCAATCCCGACGCCATTTTCTTCCTCCATTAATTCAATTGGCACCGTGGTTTCTTCAAATGTGGTAGACTCCTCAAACGTAATGTCAACATAAAAAGCATCTTCGTTTGATATACCAGCCTCTCCAATATCCACATTAGAACTGCCTACTTTACTATCAATACTTCTAATATGGAATTCCTGCACCAAGTACACCTCAACTATGCCAGTTTGTTTCCCAATACAGGCCACGTCTATAACATCATCCTCACTTTCCATATTCCGAAGTTTGATGCTACAATCTCCACCAGGGACTCTATAAAGCAGTTTCACATTTTCTTCATATCCGACAAGAGTGCAAAAGCCATGGAGATGTGACATGTTAAATGTATTTGCAATAACACCTTCAAATGATTCCATACTCCCTCCCACATACTTTTCTTGTGGTGGTCCAAAATATACCCCACCGTAATATAGTTTTAGTGTAAAGCAGTCCAACTCATGTCCTGTAATTTTTTTGGGCAGAAAAGACAAAAAAATTTTTAATTAGGCATCCACATGCTCGGTCACAATCCTGTAACCCAATTAGGTAGCATGACAACAACAACATAGTGCATTTTTCACAGCAAAGGGACCACTGAAACTAAAATAACAACAGAATCCACTACACATACGCCACATCTTATATCTACCAACATCCTATCATTTAAATTAGAAAAGAGTAAATCTACCAACTGTATTTCAACAACCAACAAGGTCTATCAGATTCGAGCTTCAACTCATTAGCAAAAAAGTTAACTTCAAACATCGCACATGCAGGCCAAGACTTACCGGAAATCCTCGCTGCCATCCCGTCGGAATATTCATTCTCCAGCTTTTCCTTGCTCTGCTCTGTTGCCCGCGAACCAATTTGGGAATTCCGCTCTGTTTTCGTCATCTTATCTCCCTCAATTGCTGGAATTTTGAATCGGCTTCAAACCCCCAATTTCTTCTGCTATTTGCATGCAAAATGGGTAGCACTCTTGGAAAACCCCTAATTTCACAGGTTTCCCCCAATTCGGATGCAAAATGGGCTCTGTCTTGCTTCCCGTAGAAATTAGGATGCGAACTTCCAAAAAGGCCCCTGCCTGGCCGTTGTTTTCTGTACAGATACATGAGTTTTGGGTGGCGACGCCGTATAAGTCCTCAATTGGCACAATCATTTTAGAAGAGGGACTTAATTGGTGCGAAAAAATTTTTAGGGACCAAATCGGCTTTAGTAAAATAGTTTGAGAACTAAATTGGCGATTTTCCCGAAAGAAAATTCAGTTGAACTTGGAGACTCGTTTTGGTAAAATATGGTTAGACCGATCGATTAATTTTGGTTCAAAGTTTTAGAGGGTAAAAAAATTTGTGTTAAATCAAATCAAGTTGAATTATTAGAAAATTAAAGTGCAAATAATAATAGGACACTTGGCGCAATTCTAGAGGTGGCATTGGATTGGCACAGGAAAGATGTATCCGAGGATCCCAAGTGAATATCTATCTGCAGCCTTTGACCGTCAGTGCCAAGTGGTTCTGCTGATAACTTTTTTCATGCTTGGTTAGGGAATAGGCCTGTTTGGCAAGTAAGTTTTTTGTCAAGTTTATCTACTACAAGTTTTTTAACAACTTTAACTATAGTACCCTTAAAAAATTTTTCAAAATTTTTAAACTATACACTTCAAAATATTAAAAAATTTACGTACTTCAAAAATTTTTTCTACAACTTCTACAGTAAACTACAATAAAGTTTTAGACAAATACTCAAAAAACTCATTTACCAAACCGGACAAATTAAATCCCAAAAAATTTGGTGAATTATGGTCCCTTTGACCAAAATATTAAACGTCAGCGGTTCCTTTTGGATCTCTCATAATTTCCATTCACCATCAAAGGCTTCATTCTCCGAATGTCAAAAACAAATTTTAAGAACAGTTAACCTTTCAAAATATTTTCAAAATAGAGAAGTACAAGTTATTTTATTAAACCCTATAATTGGATAAAAGGGTCCCTATAGGGTAATACCTACAAAACAAAGAAGTACTAGTTATTTTACAACTATTTTAATTAATTAAATTAATTATCATATACCAAATAATGACATACAAATAATTCTTCATTTCTATAAATATGTTATTAATCTTTTTATACGATTATATTCTATATAAAAATTTAAATATATAAATCGCAATTTATGTTGGAATTTTTCATTTTTTGACACAATTACGATTCCGTTAACATTCTATGTGAATTATAGATGACAAAGTTAAATTAATAAATCATAATAATATTAAGCAATACTTCCATCCATTATACTATCACTTAAACTTAAATCATATTATTAAACCATTTTCTAAATTTTAACAAATCATAATAACTTAAGCATGTTATATAACTTAATCTTGCTAAAATGGTTAACCCTAATTCTTTAAGAAAACCCTAAATCCTTTGCCAAACGGATCAAATTTTTAAAACCTAGCATCCTTTAAAATACTAAAATGCTACGCGAGACCAGTGTTTGTTTTTTAAAATTTTGTCAGATTGTCATTGTTTTTAAAAATTTTGATTTTAAATAATTTTTTTTTTAAAAGTTTTTTCTGAATTGTCTGGCCGTTGCTCCTACATGGCATGACAGCCAAAAAGGTGTTTAAAAAAAATTGCCCGTCACGCCTTCTCGGCACGACGGGCATATATTGATACCACTCAGCCAAGCCACCATATTTGACCAACATTTTTGGAATTTAACAATATTTTGATCAATTGCCCCTATTTTTGCAATAATTCCATAGTTTAATGTGTTAAAATTTATAATTAAGAAGCCGTGTTTTGATAGCAGACGCGGAGTAAGAGTTGAGTCTTTTAATTCATCCATGTTTAAAATATAACAATTTTTCCAATTATGGTTAAGCTAGTATCTTATTTCGTATGGTTATATTAGGAAGAACAAAAAAATAAAGAAACTTCAAAATATAAATGATCCAAGAGACTTTTATTATTGGGAGTATAGGGATATAAACACAAATACAGCTTTAGCTGATTTCTTTTCATTTTTTATTTTAGCATGAACCTTCAAGCTAACTCTATAATTTTCTTCAATTGTTTTTTTTTGTCGAGAAAATCACTAAATTTGATCACTTTTTCTTCTAATTCTCTCGTATCAATAATCATGACCATTGATATGGGAGATTAATAACCATGACCAACAAAGTAAAGAGTCTAACAAAAAAAATGAGGGCTTCTTCAACCCTTGAGATTGTGGAAGCAGAGAATTTGGCATTGCTGCAATTACTAGTGTCAATTATACCATAAAATATCTGTGTTATCATATTAAATGTAAATACTAAGACAATAAATAAAAACAGTAAAACAATAATGTGCAAAATTAATGTTACCGGAATGCATTAATGTTGCCAATATATAATGGTCAAAATAAAATAATTGGATTGAAAGGTGGAAATTTCTACTAGTTAACAGTAGTACTTCTTTTCAAGAGTCAAGACATAAATGCACGCTAATTATTTGTACAAAATTATCTGTTTATTTCATAAACGTATTTTTATTTCATATATATCACATCAAAATAGTAATACAATACTTTTTAAAAAAATTATGCCAAATAATCTCATATTCAAAGACAAGAATATGCCCATTTGAGTGTTACTTGGGCCATTGGAAATTAATTTAAGTCTCCTCAGTGGTTTTCTTGTAAGACTTGCCTCTTTAAGAGACAAATGATTCTAAAAATGATTGATATTTTGTCAACAATTAATTAGTATCTCCTAGTTGATAATGATTGATTGATATCTTCTGTTTATTGATATCTTATTCAATCAGTTAATCAATCAATTAGTCAGAGATATTATTCTCAGTTATGATTTATGGTAATATTTCCTTGATGAAAGGAAATCCTAGGAATTTTTGTATTTGCTAGTAAGGGTCCCTAGTCTAGTCTATAATTAGTCTGTGATATTTCATTAATTGTACATTTTTTGGGTTAGGCATAAGTTAGAAGATCCTTACTCTAAATTCTCATTTTACTTTTTCATTTTTTACATATTTTATTTTGTTAAAATAGACAAGAAAGAGTCAAGACACAAGGAGAGAGGCGTCAAAGACACAAGGAGATATCAACTTATACTTGACAACAATGGCCACTACAAGAATTTTGGTCATCAGTGATAACTATTTTTCGTCACAAAAAATCAAAAAGTCGTCACTGATGACCATTATTGACAACATTTCAGTTGTCGCAGGGTCGTCACTGAATCTCCGTCGGTAAAAGTATACAATGACGACTTTAAAGTCGTCAGTAAATAGAAGCTTTTTTATGACAATCTATGTCGTCAGTAAAAAATTAAAGTATACAGTGACGACCTTAGAGTCGTCAGTGAAGGAAATTTTTTATGACAACATATGTCATCAGTAAAAACTATAAATCTAGTGACGACACCTTCTCTTGTTAGTGATGCATGGAGGGACGGACCGGACGGCAGTGAGGGCATAGGGGAATTAGTGACAACTTTGTTGTCAATAAACCCCTGATCAACTGTGGCAACAATCCCTTATCAATAGACAGTTTTGATTGAGTGACAATAACAATTGTCAATAAAGACACCTTCCCTAGAAAAATACTACTCATTTACAACACCTTACACATGACTTTCCTACTACAATAATATCTAAAAAATGAAAACATCAGCAATGTTTAATAAATAACAAATGTCGGCACCCGTTACAATAGAATATGCCAGAATAACATATTAAATATTCAAATGTCATAAATAAGTGCAACATCATAGTACAAATAGTTTCATAAGTTTGAGTAGAACAAATACTACTCATATAAGTCAAGACTGCACTAAAAAACATATTCCAAGTCCCAAAACATTTCCTGCGCTTCCGAAACATTTTCTAAACTTAAGACAGCACTATAACAACAGTTTTTGAGCTGACATGTAAGCCGTACTGCTAATCTTCTTCGAAACCTCCAAAATGAGCAATATATCTGCAATAACGTAGTAAAGTTATTAGTAAAGTTATCAGGTGACAAAAGCAAAACAGTCTCTAATTACTAAATAAACAACAAAAGTAACAAGCATTCACTAATCTGATACCACCGTAATGAATGCGGCAATTGCAGCAGAAATAGAGTGATAAGGGGAAGAGAAACTAGACTTGAGGAAGAAGAAAGAGAGATATTATTCAAAATGATTTTTCCATGTTGCCCAATCCGGATTTCTGCATTCTTATACAGCTCAAGAATAACAAAATAACTACTTGATTGTTGACTCAGCACAACAGTCTAACTAACAAGGAAGATTCCCTTTAACTACTTGAAGGAAATACATTTCGCATGTACTATATTGGTATTCTTCAAGTGAAATACTATACTGGAAATACATTAATTCTTCAAGTTGAAACTGACAATCCACTGCAAAGAGACCAAACAGTACTATACTGGTATTAAAGGCTAGACGGACACAAATTAATGGAAGGGGGGAAGATGGAGAAGGGGAGAGTATGTATAACAGGTGGAACTGGACTTTTGGCATCATGGTCGATCAAAAGGCTTCTTGAAGATGGTTATTCTGTCAACGCTACAATTAGGTCCTCTTCAGGTTCATGTTTGCTAATTTACTAGTAATTAGTTCTTTACTTGAATTACTTTACCATTTCCGTCTGCAACTTTACATATCATCAGAACAACAGTTTTTGGCAACTAAGTAGGAGCTAATTTCAGAAACGAAGGGTCTGAGACAGAACAGCAAATTGTCTGCACCATATTTCTAACAAGAAATCAGAAGCTTTGGTCAGTAGAGACAAATGGAATGAAGAAGACAGTGCCATGATAAAATTCAACAAGGAAAGAAAGGATTTTCCAGAGTAAAGGCGGTAATTAGGAGCCATCAAAGTTTCCGTTTGAGCTTTAAAGCCTAAATGTCATTGCAAAACAGAAAAACTAGAATCAGGACACCACATGGCAAATCATTAGGCTTAACTGGAAATTGCATGACATTAATGTTTAGCAAGTATTCAAAAAGCTAAATCAGTACTTTGTTTTTGCTGTTCATTTCTAACCTAAATTAGTAAGCAGATATCAAATCTTCCTACTCTGTCCACAACGACCAGTAGTGATAGCAAAGTTATGCATGAACTTACTTTATAAACTCAAGGTGATTTACTCACAGAAAGAGTAAAATGAGAAAAAGAAACATCATGGAGCATAAAAAACGGCAAGTGAGCAAAAAGGGAAAACAACAATAAATTTTCTTCATACATTTGGAGACCTGGAAACTAATCATGATGAAACGATCATAACCCAAAGGATAAACCTCAATGCTAACAAATGCAAATGAACATAGAGCTTGTGAATTGCTGTGCAACAAATTTATAAGCCGCGGACTTTACGAATTGCGAAATGTGAAGCATAAAAGAAAAAGGGTTCCAGCTAAACGGAACTCACTGCTTCATGTAACAAGAGCGAAGTTAAACATGAGAGACGGACTTAAGACATCACAAGCAGAATGCAAGGAAGGAGAATCAAGAAAGACGGCCATATAGGCGTGTGAGTAACCAACAAGGAAAAGGAAACACCCATCAACAAACTGCCATCCAGCAGACTTTTGTTACGTGCATTCTGGGCATGACTCACGCTCATTAAAAAGATTCTCAACATCTGACTAATTTATTAAATAGAGACATGAAACAGAGGGAACCTATGAAATGGAAGAGATAAACAAGAGAAAACAGCCCATAAGTACTAACGAATAGATTGCTGTCTATTTACATTCAGATTCTCAAACCAATCTGGCAACTTGAAGAAATCATATCATTCTAGTTCCAAACGCTACTCGGTGAACCAGCAAACAGGGCAAACATTTTTCAATCAGAACCTAGTTAGGCATTTCGTCGAACAGGTTGGGGCATTAGAAATTTCATCAGACTTTTGCTCCAATTGAAGTTAATCGGCCCCAAAATTGTTCAATAAGCAAGAGCTTTCAGTTCAATTTAACACATAAGGCACATATGATCTAAAATCCTGAACAATCAACATGACAATTGTACTTAGCAAACGCACGGCAAAAATGCTCTGAACATCGCGGAATGCAACAACGAAAAAGTGGAAAAAATCAACTTCAAGAATCATGGCTTTTCTTTTTCTTCCCGACTAGCAAATGCACGGATTCTGCCTAACTTTGGACTGGCCAGAGTCCCTATTGAATAAAAAAGCACAAAATCCCCTCTTTTGGTTCAAAACTTTCGTTCGGGCTTTTTATCAAACAGGTCATGGGCATTTAAATTTTCAATGATTCTTTGTTCAAGTGATATTATATCTAACCCCAAAATTCATCAGAACAAAATGGATTTCAATCCCAGCATCATATAAAACACATATATTCACGGGCTATGTAAAACACAGAAGGAAGACTGAACTGTAAACGAAGAAATTACCTCTCACGGTCTCGCCAAAGCAAAATTCTCCAAGGCAATCATCCAATGAGGACCGCTGGGGTAGACATCAATCAAGCCGTTGAACTGCCTCTCTCCTCTTCTACGTGCTTATCATCAGCCTTCAACTTCTTGACATCTTCGTTGTTCTCTCCCTCCTCGTCAGCTTCATCTCTGACGTGCTTTAAACTGCTGGCACTGCTAACCGCCGCGTCATCAGCTTGGGCTTCGACTATTTTCATGTCTTGAGTGGACGATTCCTTCACCTCACCATCGACTAGGGTTTTTGGGGTTTACTTTTGCTCTATTTCTGCCATAGTTTCCTCTTTGTTTTCCTTTCTTTTCTTAGTCTATCTCTCTCTGACTTCAACTCTCTCCTTTTGCTTTTTTTTTTCCACCGCTCTCCTTTTCCTTCCCTTTGTTTTTCCTCTTTTCGTAGCTATTCTTCCTCAGCTGAAGCTCCCTCTCTTTTCCGTTGGCTTGCCCGATAGTTTTTCTCTTTGCTAATCCTTGTCCGCCGCCCTCCTTCATTTTCTGATTTCTTCCACCGAGAATCGGCATACCTTTTTGGTAGAGAGTTGCTGCTAAATGTGGTCTTCTATTTGATCATTTCCGAGCCAAGATCAATTAGGAGATGGCGAGGAGATGTTTCGGCAGAGATAAGGAGCAGTGTGCTACGGTTGGTTCTAAGTGTTGGCTGTTGGCTTTAGGATACTGCTGGTGTTTTGTTCGGTGATACTGGTAATGTTGGCTTTAGGATACTGGTAGTGTTGGCTATTTGGTTCTAAGTGTTCTAAGTGTTTCCGCGCCTCTCCTCAAAATATTGACTTTGAATGAAATTTCAATTCCTTATATTTCCCCCTTACTTGTTCAATACCAAAATTTCAATCAACGTTTTTTAGTTTCCAACATTTTAGTTGAATTAATATTTTACTAATATAATATTACTTGCTACTTTTAAATATTTTTGTGAAAATATTCATAATGGATGAGAAAATTATGTTGAAATATTACAAGTGGTAAATGCACCTTGGTTCTGCTTCAAATAGTTAATTTTTTTATGAAATCAAACAGTTGATCCGATATTAATATTACAAGTGAATTTTTAGCTTCAAATTTTATTTAAATTTACTAATGTATTTCTAATCACTACTTCTTAACATATTTATCAAAAAATTATAATGGATGAAAATTTTTTGCTAAATTCAAAGAACTGGTAAATATACTCTTTCTCAAGTTGTAATAGTTTATATAGTTGTTCTAACTAGAAATTTTCATTAATTTTTTTCAGTTAAAAACCTATTGAGTAACTATGACTAGTTTAATAAATCATCAAATTTTTAAAAAATTAAATTAATATTAAGTAACTATGACTAGTTTAATAAATCATCAAATTTTAAAAAATTAAATTAATATTGAGGCTCACAATTAAATAAAGTCATAGTTAATAAATCATCAAATTTTAAAAAAATTAAATTAATATTGAGGCTCACAATTAAATAAATGCATTAGAGATGTTCAAGTTAGTGATGATACTTATATTGTCACTAACTACGCTATAGTTTTACTGACAAAAATTGGTCGTCAGTAAACATAAACAGTGACAACAATGAAATGTTGTCAAAGAAAGCGGTAGAATTACTGACAACATTTATCAAGTCGTCACTATCGCAAATCTCCCGCCTTCCAAGTCCCATGGCGCGAAGTAGTTTTGTGACGACAATTAAAGGTTGTCACTAAAAACTCAGTTGCTTTGAGTCAATTGTGACAACCTTCAAAGTCGTGACTAAACAACCTCATTTTGTGACGACTTTTTGTCGTCACAAAGAAATGTTGTCACTAATGATCTTTTTTCTTGTAGTGGGTGGAGGTAAGTGTATTTAGATTTTCGCTGCGTATTACATTTATATGTACATCATTAGTTTAACATGTGGTATCATAACCACCATCTAATCATATTGTTCAGCTTAGAACTTCATGGTTTATTGGCAATCTGATAAAAGTTTTAGAGATTCATAGCAAGTTTGAACAAATCGAATTTAATTTGCCATGGGATCTAAGGTCCATTTTCTCAATAATTGAGATTTATTGACTAATCCTATATATATGTATCATTCATATGATATCTTATTTGACTATGCAATTCATCCAGATTTTCTTCAATAATCTGGGATGGCTGCAAGTAATTTGAATGTTTTTTGAACTTACATATTTGTGATTGTAAACGTTAGATATATTGCTTGTCATTATCAATATAATATAACAATTCAAGAAACATATAAAGAACTATTATATTCAGCAATCAAAAGGATTAGTATTAAATTAATATTTGCAAGATGATTGTCTGACTTTATATGAATAGATCTGCATGCTTATTGAATCTCTATTGCTTTATTATGAGATAAATATCTAAAAGCATGATTTCAATATCAATTTTGCCTCTATGTTCTTGTTATTATTTGAAATTATGTAGTATTTTTATGCACTACACTTATGTTCATTTATGTCATATTATGATGTCAACATTAGTATGGTTGATTACATTTGAATTTCATAGAATTTCCTTTCTAAAGTTTTTCTTGCATCTCAATTATTTGATGCATTTTAATCACAAAAAAGATTGGTGATTATAAAAGAAAATTAAGAAATTTTTGTTAAAATATGGATTGTTTGACTATTTTGATATCCTTATAAAGTTTAGCACACTATATGTTTGAGAGTAGCCATAGCATCTCAAACATCGATGTACTACAATTTTGATCACATATAGTTTAGCGATTAAAGTCAAGGATTTCTAGTCAACAACTTGGCTACTTATTTTCTATAAATTTTCATTAGATGTTTTCTTGCATCGTATATTTGGAAGTAGTTACAGCATCTCATGTATACGGTGTAAAGATCTTTAATCACATAAGATTAAGTGATTATAAAAGGAAAGGAAAATTCAATGAAATTGAGTCAATATAAAGTTTTTTGACTATTGACAAATGCCATGCTAAGAAATTCACTTCTACATTATACATTTGGGAGTAACCACAGCATCCCAAATATTTGATATGAAAAGTTTTTCATCACATATAGTTTGGTGATTGAAATTATGAATTTTTGGTCAACATATTGACTAGTTGACAATTTTTCTTATAATGTTGTATACTTAGGAGTAGCCACAACATCTTAAGTATATTAGTGTTTGGAGAAATTTTGTATTTCTTTTTCACATATTGTTGAGTGATTAAAAAAAAGGCATCTATATCAAGTTGCAATCAATTCACTAAGATAGTTATCCGACCCCACAAGGAGGTAATTGTTTTGGTAGGATTAATTGACATAAGATGGTAAATTAGACCATAAATTAAGAAATATTTCTTTGCCCACAAGTATGAATTATTTCTTCAATTTATTGTTTTAGATTACTAGTCTTATGATTAAGGAAAGTAAATTCTATGCATTTTGCAACCTTGTCCATAAGAAGGTATGAATTTACTATTTGAATTGACATAAGCTTGATTCAAAATCAAGGTGCAAACTTCATAGCATTTGTATGATATAGTTCTTGATTGTTAATTTAGTGTTTCATTCTAATGATTTTGTGATTCTTATTAGCTTGTCTTTTAAATTCATTCTCCTTTGTTTTGGGTGCAAGTTTTAAATTAGCATTTTTATGAAAATGAACAAATCATTCTCATAACATGGATATATTTGCTAATATATATAGAGGTTGAATATGAGAATTAGGAGCAATTTAATATTTTGCTCATCTTGTCTCATATTCACATAAAATAGGGTTCAAACCCTAATTTTTATGGTTAAATCTTGCATGAAAGTCATAAATAAATTGTTGCAAGTTTTAACTAGTACCATTAGAAGGCTTTCTTTTATGATACTTAAATATTGAAGTGTATTTTGCTATATCATGAATTAAAGTCACATTAAATTGAGATTGAGCTATTTTTATAGCATTTCATTCTTGATTCTTGCATAAAGAATTTCTTAACCATTCAAGCCTTTATAGTTTTAATCATGTGTATTAAAAAGTAATAAAGAGGTTAAGAAATAAGATAAACTTAATTTTCATGAAAGAATAAATGCAAAGAAAGGTAATTTTGTTCTCATTAAGTCAAACAACAATAAAGACCAATATTGTGCGTAAGAGAATGATATATGATTCTTTACCTTGACAAAAAGTAGCTCAAAAGAAAATCTCAATTTTTGAGTATTATAAATTGTGACATATTTGGTGAATTGGTTAAAGTTTGTCAATTCACGTTGCCAGTATAATAAGTTTTCTGATTGTATGGAAAGTGAACAAAAGTTTCTTTATAGAAACTAAAAATGTTCACATAAAGATAAGTGATGTATTATTGCTCATTTCAAGAAAATTTGTTTTTCTAAAACATTGTTTTCTTGTTACCTTAGAATTTCTATTTTCAAATTAATTACCATTGGGTATGATTATGAACCTCATTATCCAGTAGTAGATTTTAAAAAAATAGTGATGTTATTAATTCTAAAATTTTCAGTATCATCGTTTAAATTGAGCAATATACTTCACTTGATTGCAATAATTATATTGGCAGCAAGTATGTTTATCACTAGGGAAAACTCCTTAAATTTTGACATAGGAGATTGAGATATATCTCCATGAGAAAAATAAAGAGTTGATAAATTATAAATCTTTAAAGATTTTAGATTTATTAACTATTATATTTTAAGTAGCCTGCATAACTAAATCAATCATTGTGGATGCCATAACGATTGGTGAGAGATATTTATCTTATTGTTAGGTAACTATTCATCAAATATAATGCTCCTTTCTTATTTGATAAAGGATCAATATTTGATACCATTGCAAGTGTTCAAACGAGAAAGGAAATTTGAGGGATAAAAATAAAATGAAGGCACGCATAAAAATGGGCTATCCTGTATGTGCTCATTTTATAAATTCCTTAATTAGGAAACATTACTAATGAGTTAAAGCAATGCTTGATTGGTTACATCCAATAGTGTACTTTAAGGAAATAATGAGATACTTGTGAAT